ACATATAATCTCGCTACTGTAAGGAAGGACAGGGTTTAACCAAATCCGTACTTAGATAACTTTATTCAGGCAATAATACAAAAGAATGTTTCTTCTTTATTAATCATGATTAATGTTCAACTGACTGACTCGTCCCAATACGCCGTGCATATGTATAATTGGAATGGGCAATCGTAGGAACATGTTCAGCCCCATATGTCATAATGAAAACGAAGGGTTGTGTTTTATTCAATTCCTCATTTAGAAAATCCATGGTACTATAATAAATCCATCCGGTCCTTCATGTAATCCATTTGGAAATATTGAACGATCCCTCGCTGGTACCGCCAAAAGTAATCGAGCTTGTTTGCCTGGACTCGATGACATGCCTCTTTAAAATGTACTTCCCAGCTTTCCATTTAATTTGACAACCAATTTGCCTTACCTATCTTCTTAACGGTTGCCATAAAATATCGACGTTTGTGGAAGTTATTTATGATAACTTTATTCAGAATAATACGAGATTGTAATTGTTGAGGGTCAACCTATCCTTTCAACTAATTCTTATTAACTCCGCAAAAATCAGACGTGTACTCACTCTATATAAGTCTCCACTTAAATTCGTCTCGAAGAATCAAATTGTAAAAACAAATGGCTTAAGAGTTTGGATTGAAGAAACAAAACAATAATGTATAAGTACAAAAATAATTAAGATTCTTGTACATTTAGTTAGTAGTTTATTTTCAACTACTAGAAACTAAGAACATTACAGGAGATACGTTTGACATTCCAGTATATCATATCATATCATATCATAAAATCAGAATATATTCAATTTATCAGTGATGTATACTGATATAAACTGATTTTGTACTGCCTCCGGATTAACGACAGTACAGAAAACACTACAAGACATAAATTGATTAAATACTTGTCAATGGATTTACTCCAATGTTTCGAATTGTATATGGATATATATTGATTTTGTACTGTCTCCGAACTATCTCGAAAGACAGTATAGAAAACACGTTATAAAACATCAATTGATTAAATACTTGTCAATGGATTTACTCCAATGTTTCGAATTGTATATGGATATATATTGATTTTGTACTGTCTCCGAACTATCTCGAAAGACAGTATAGAAAACACGTTATAAAACATCAATTGTTTAAATACTTCCCATTCTTTGGAAAATATTTAAACAATTGATGTCTTACAATGGGGTGGATCGAATATTCTTAATGTACACACGCAACAACTACATTTTTATTACTACGAGCATTCTTATTATTACGGTCACGCGATGAGCAGCCTGGTGCATTCTGAAAATTAATATTAAGTATTTGATATTACAGTTACACGTTTACACGCGTAGCACATCAATTGCATTCGAATATAAAAGAATTCACAGCAATTGAAAGTAGATCGAAAGGAACGTCAATTCCCTAGCTATGAAATAGAAAACCTGTCAGCGAATGAACTGAATGAAACATAGAGCAAGCGATCCACTTGGATTGGACATTAGATTCTGTCTTTCATCGATCAGAAATCTGTTGAAGAAAGCCAGTTTGCGTCGGCAGTGTCGTGCCGATTGAGAATTCCCATCACGCAAAAATTAAGCCAATGACGGTTTCGTTTTACACTGATGGAAATCCCGATGGAATTGACGACGAATACCGAGACGAATTTAGCCTGACATGAAATGAGGCTCGCTAGTAATGCTAATGCTGACGAAGATTATCAATATCGTGTTCAGCATAGAATTTAATTTTCGTATGAGTCACAGACCTAACGACGATTGACTGGCACTACAGTTCGGGTGCTTCATTAGTAAACTGCGAATCAAATATTTAGAGTACAGTTTTACAGAATGAGACTTATATATGTTTTTTTCTTAACTTATTAAACAGCATAGATATTGCTTTTAATATTTGTTGTAAAATTGCATTTTGTGTGCATTGTTAAAGTATCGTCACACACGACGCATGGGTTCACCTCGCTTTTATTTGAATTGAAGCAAGAATTGGTACCGTAAGTGACACCTATGTGTAATACTACTGTTCTAAACTCTGCCGATAAGCTGCTTGACACGCTTGTTTAAACGCTACTTCTCATTCAATTGAAAACGTACATGTTTTATGAATATAAAATGCTCCTATAAAGTTTGTCTTCCTTAAATTAAGAGTAATGAAAGAGGATAGGAGATGGGTTGTACGAAAAAGAAACAATACTAACAAAAAAAAACAATTGGCTTTGTGGTTTATTGCATCGAACAAAACGGAATCCAAGGAGAATGCCCGAAGAACATCCCGGAACATAATTAGCGAGTCGCGAGGGTTGTTCCGTCCCTTTCCCGCATTTTTCAGAATTTGTCCGCGGTTGAATCTCAGCAGCCTCCGCCTTCCGTGTAACCCTAGTAATGAGAGAAAAAAAAAAAACACGCACAGCGAGGAGTAGAGGAAGTTAGCTGCCGAACACCCTGGGCCCTAGGCTAATCTCTCATAACTGGAGTAGCTCATTTGCGGCGGGAGTCGCGAGAATGCTCATCGAGGAATAAAAGAGAACCCGAAAAAGAGGGATAAGTGGAGAGAGCAATGCGTGTTACGACAGGACAGACAAAAAGTGCGGGCGAAGATAAAGCTAGAGAGGAGGGTGGATTGCGGTAATTGGCACCAAGCCCTGTTTCCCGTGTTAGTCACCGTGATACAACCTGCGCTCGTTTTTAAGTCATTAAATACCCTGAAAACGAACGAACCATCTCTACCAGAATAATAAACAGCAAGCATATTCATTTTATTTTATAAATCCGAATCCATAAACGGTGCTGGTTTGTCGCAAAGCATCGTGATTATGTTACTTAATATTTATACATATTTAACTCCCTTCTTGTTAAACGTAAATGATTGGACAGTTAATATTAAATGTGCATCTCGATACGAAATAGAAAATCTGGTATAAACACAATTTTCTGCCCCGATTAGCACAAAGTTCACTAATCACCAGATATTCTGATATTCGGCGGAACGCAACGATTCGTTCATTTTGTCAATACGCTCAGATTGTATCTATAGCCGTATTTCCGTAAAAGCGATTTCGTTCGAAGCTCGACACGGCAATCCAGTTTGCACGAATACTCAACGATTCCCGCGAGAGCTCACGCTCGCAAACCGCGGACGAGATTTCGTTTCACATTTTTTTGTGCGCGACAAGCAAACCGTCGGAGATTCAGTTTGGAAGATTTTTCAATCCAAAAGATAGGTACATTTGATAATGGAGTCGATGACACTGAGTTTCACGCCTAAAGAAAACGATGATAAAAGGGGCCCGTCTGAAGGATTCGGCTCGAGAGCTTTTTCGCCAGAAGAAGAATCTCGACGCGAAATTGTCCGCCGTGAACAAAGGAACAGGAAGAAGTGATCTGCTTTGTATCGTTACAAAGAGAATAAAGCCGGCAGGGGGATGGCGAAGCGGGTGACGTATTGTGGATATTCGAAACAAGAAGATGGAAGATGAAACGGATCCTCTCCAGGGAGGACACTATCGAGGGACGGTATACCTCGTTCGAGTGCCTATGTCAAGAACCATCGACCGGAACTCGATTCTACGAGCTACTCTCGAAACACATGAAAATATGATTGAAATTGTGTAATGCATTATCATTTAAAACGAAATATCTTTTATGAGAAAAGAAAATAGATTATTTCATTATCCGTAACATTAACATCCTAACTCGGTTAGTAAATCCCAAAGAAATCTCAGAGATGAGAACGCGAGTAGTTGAACTTAAGAAGAAGTTCCTGCACAGAGTTTACGGTATCAAGGTTTAACGAATCTTTTTAAATTCACAGCGCGCGTCCCTTAACCAGTTGATTTCCCAGTTTTTTCAGTTTTTCTTCCTCGTTACTCCTACCCACTACTGTATTTCCACGCCGGTAGTTCCCGGGTGGTATCAGCGAGGGGCATAGCCCTAAGGCAAGAGCAAACGCGATTAGACGGTACACTAAATCTTATTCAACCAGCCTTCATTGTTAAGTGCTTCCACCCGTCTTTCGTTCCTCGTAAAATGCGTTTCCACGACCTCGCTCAAATGCCCTTCGACGCTCCGTCCCGTGAAAATGTTCTTGTACACTCGAGAAACTCTTCCATACCACGTAACGTCAGTGGCTTCATTTGATTCTATTACAATTTGTATGTCTGACATTCGTAGAAGTGATTTCATCTCTATTTTTATCTAACTAAATTACTACGCTAAGTACTACGTTTCTAATTAATTAACTAATTGGAACGACAATATTATGAAGCTGTCAATGGGCGTGACGGAAAACGCGAATGGAAATGCGAAGCGAATTTCAGCAAACATCGATTAACGTGTAGGAGATATTACAAGAGAGGATTCGGCGGGCTGGTAAATATTTTCGCAGGCGCCTAGTCGCTACGCCCCGACTAATCGCTAGTACTTAACGAGGAACAACCCTGATGCAGCAACCGCTCGTTGTAACCGTCGCGTCATTAAACCGCAACACCCTTAATAACGAAGAGATAGATACACTGCAGGTTGGAATCGCGTAACCAGATGGTAAGAACTCGAATCGTATGCATCACTGTCACGCAAATTGCTTTCGTTCCCACCCGTGTATACTCTATCACCATTACTCCCGGCCCTGCCGTTTGATCGTTTCCCATGTAACTTTTGCCGATACCACGTGATGTATATGCAAGTGCGATTCAATTACGTTTATCTATTACTCGAAATCAGACAACCGGTGATTACTTTTTCAAACTTTCTAAGAATGATCAGTGATGTCATGCAGAATTTGCTATGTTACATTAGTATCTTGTTAGAATGAAAACATGCATGGCACTCAACAACACGCGTTAGAAACTCTATTTGATTTAGCAATTTACTCAGATGTAGAAGTGAGAAGGAAGGTTAATAGAATGATTTGATTGAAGAGAATAAAGCGTCATGCTTAAAGCAGAGGCTAAGCAGTAATCGCAACTCGATTATGAATGCTCACCTGGTCTCCATCTTGTCCTTGCCAACTGTCATGGCTCTGTAACAAAAAAATAAATTGGACTTTGAAATATAGTAAGTTATTAAAAGAGTACAGTTTCCAATTTGATTTTATTTGTACATAATACGCGAGGTCGAGAAACAATTCAACGCGATTGCAATATCAGTTAGTACTTCACCGACGGACACGCAGTTTCTGCCAAATATCGTGGCGTATTCATGCCAAATGTTCTGAAACGCATTTTATTTGCGGTAGAACAAAGAGCTGGCGCGGTATTCCACCTGTGAACCGGCCACATCGCCATCCAATTTTCCACTCTACTATCCCGCATCTCTACAGCGTCCAGATTTATACCTCGAAATTTTGTCTACGATTATTCGGGTGATCGCAATAATATTTTGCAAAAATACTCGTCAGTTCCACTGACAAATCAGAAAACCGGTGCTCGAATGTAAATTGATAATGAACTAATTTGAGATAGAAGTCTTTTAAACAAAAATTAATTATCACTTCGTCTGAAACATTGTTTTTTGTCGTTTGATTTATTCATAATGAACTAATGAACAATCGTTTTTTGGGTAAACGCATGATTTCGATCGGAAGGTCGTAAGTTTATTACGGTTCATTAAATCGATGTAAATATCGCGAAGCGTACCGAGAGCTGTTTTATCGGATGTGGAGATCGAAAGCATAGGTGGGGGGTCGCTGGAGTAATGTTCAGTCACCTCCTAAGATTTATGACTGCGCACGTTGCATTGGTGTGCTGTAAAACTGATTTCCGGCATTCGTTAAGACATACATACATGCTATGTATGTATGTTGGGAACTTTTAGAAGTTTCATTGATATATCGTACTTCATGATTTAAATCATGATGCTTTAAATCCATGTTGACAGAAATTAGATCTATCCCTGTACGTTTGACATAATTGATAAGGAATCTTGTACTAAGCATCACGAGTCCTGAGGCAGTTACATGTATTGTATAATTCGGATTCATCGGAGTTAATGCAGGGTTCTACGAGATAGTTTGTACCGCATCCCACGAGCCCAAATTATCCGTGTCACATCTGTCGACAGCTATGCTCGTTACTAGAGATTCTATTGTATAATTTTCAATAAAATAACTCATAAATCCTTCATCTGTTATCTAAATTTTTTATAATACAATTGTTGAACTTATTTGTTATTTTATATACTTCAATGGCCAAGACATATACCACGCCAAAGTATTTATTTAATTTTGTTAATAAAATAGGAGATGGTAAAGGTTGTAAGCCAATGACAACGTATCGTATGTTAACGTGCGAGGTATGACAAACGCGATACAGATAAGTCGAGGAAATTATTCCTATGATGTGCGATTGATACCTCTCGACCAGTTAGTATCAAAATCCTATGACGAAACGGAAGCCGTATTTCTAGCGAATTCGACGTCTTACAATTAGTCGGATAATGCTGATATCGATTTCGCATGGTTGAGGAAAATCAGAATTTCTAAAAATAAGAAAGATGCATTGTAACTTACTATCAGTTGTACCTAATATATCCTGGCTGTCCAGATTTTCTGACGCACCGGAGCGAAAAACGCGTCGAAGGCCGACGAACCGAGCGTTCGCCAATAGGCCGGACCTCCGCGCCGGGTCTGCTTCAAGGGCGACCTTTCCGGAAGACACGGTACCGTGGGGAAACGGAAAGAACTCGGCGAATCCGCCGGATAGTCCGCCGCGGACCTTCCCGCATACGCGACTGTCTGGGGGATGTCCTGGAAACAGGCTTAATGTTCCGCAAGTTCCGGATCGTATGACGGGATGTGGACTTGGACGCGAGCTCGCTCGCGGACTCGTCGGAGTTTCGCCGAGGGCTCGCCGAAGGGGCACCTGCCCAGACGGGAACAGGCTGTCGCGTGGAGGTCGGTTCGGGGGGAAAATTAGCTCCGCTCCTTCCTCTCCTCACCACCCACCCCTCCGACTTCAAGGGAGCCGGGGTGTGACGACGGCTAAAAATCCCCGAATGGAGACTTGAACGTCTCTCCCGCGCCGGGAGAGCGGACTCGTCGAAGTGAGGGTCGTCTGGTGAACGGTCCGGGGCGTAGAAACCGCAATGAAGACTTGGAGCCTTAGCGCAAGGCGGGCTATTCGTCAAAGTTGCAGCCGTCGATCGGTTCGTTATTTTATATTATAATGTACTGTCCTTTCTTAATTACTATACGCAGTATTGCAATTACAATAAAAATAAATGGGAAGGTAGTATTTTAGGATAATTGGGAGGAAAAGACAAAGAAAAGAAGGATAACACCTGCAATATTTGAGTTGGTAAAAAGAAATTTAATTATCTAACAGAAGCAAAAATTGCATGAAATGTAGAGACGAAACCGATGTCGTTGCTAACAATGGAACAGAGGAGGAACGGTAGTATTGTTGTTTGTGTAAATTACTGGTAAGCATTGTTTAACGAAACATCAGTCTCTCCACTAATTTGTAACCGTAGTACTCTGTTTATAATACTCCTTATAATTGAAAATAATGATCGGGTTTTGCTTGAAAATTGCATGCTTGATGCATAAATGGAAATATCGTGTTACACCGAGATATAATTACACAAATTATAAAGTTCAATTCAATTACGCGGAATAGAACGCGAAAACGAGAAAGAAATAGACGGCATTAATTAAATTCCCCGCGGTATATGTTTTTAATCAATGTAGCTAGTCCCGACGGATTTTCCGAGACAATCCTTTTCGGCTAAACTTAATTGCAAAGTTTCGTAGCCGAGGAAATTGGTACATTCGTAACTTTCGACAGCCACGGGGATGATACCTAAACTAACAACGCTCCCCCGGAACTTTTCTCGTTTGCCGTCAACTTTATCCAACGCTAGTGGGTTACTTTAATTGCAAAGATGTTATTTACATTGCGCTTCAGCTTTGTCTGACAACGTGGTTAATTTCATCGACTTATAATACAGAATTACATCGTCTCATCTGATAGTACTTATTAATACGCGAATATCGTTAGTGATCGAATTTGATACTTTCCTCTGGCGATAACAAAACGAGGGAGGGGATTTCATTTTTTATCATCGAAAGAACGACTTCCTACGCTTTTATGTAACACAGTATAATGGTTTCGAGTGGAGATAGCGGATACCACGCAACGTCATCGTTGAGAGATATAAAAAAAAAGCACTTACCTTCTAACAACTTCCCCTTTTACATTTTATTGGCGCCCTTCTAGGCTACCCTCGCGTGTGTCGTTCGATTTTTCAACTCAGGCTGCCGCGGCTTATGAACTTGCACGCGTGACCTGTATCGATTTTTAATATCCTCCGATATAAATCATCGGACAGAGGTCGGTAATAATTTCGCGATGTAATAAAGAGAATTTCTGCTCGGCGATAAATCGCGCGAAATAATTTCTACGACCCGATGAGATCAAACGCAACCGGCTATAAAAATATTCTTAATGGAGAAATGACATTGCACGGAAAGCCGTTCACCTCGCGCGAAAAATCGTCGTGATTTATCGATGATGAAAGCAGCGGGGGCGGCGACGACTATGCCCAGAGGACATAGGATACGTTGCACCCGGTAAAGGGATGAATTTCACTAAGGGATGAGAGTAGGTACGCGTTTCCCCTAGATAGCTAAACTTACGAGACACTCTGCTAAGTTCTGGGACCACAATTTAACGGCTAAGGGAATTAGATCGACGACGTACGAGCTAAGCGGAAGCCGGAACACTAAATCGACTCACACCATTGTTTCTATTATAGTTCATAGCAGCGTACTAATCAGAAACGGAGTAATCATCCCTCCTTAGAAACGTTGCGAACTCGATATTGTAATAACAAAAAGTCACAGTATATATGAGCTGTTGTGTTCGTTACTGGTTAAACATTGATCAACGTGTACAGTATTGGAGCGAACTATACATCGGCGTAATATAATAATTTGCAAGACGGCTTACTCGAGAGGCATAAATTTTGGCATTGAACACCGTGAAATCTCTGAATCTCGGGGACGGAGTTCCCGAGTTGATCCAGGCACGTTACATCCTCTAGATGTGTCCTAAACTAGTCGTAACAAATAAGGAATTTCGTGTAGGAGGATCCCTTCGGCATCCCGGAATTCTGCCTTATCGCGTAAAGCCAGTTGTACACGAAATTCTCCGGATGGTCAAATATTTCCGTGCGTTTTACAACTTGTAACAAAAATATTTTAGAATTTTTCAATGAAGCTTAAAACAGATTTTTTTCCTGAATCTGTGAAACTATATTACTAAATGTCTAATTGTTTCGTATGGTAAAAAATGAATTCTTGTTCAACAGTAACGAAATTTGTTACAATATAACTAGGCATTGCAGCTAGCAAGAAAGCAGAATCGAGGCATCCAGAGGATACAGGATCTCGTAAATTCAGTTTTACAGGGACATATCGGAGGAAGTTTCCCGAATAGCCAGCGAGCGATACGACCGCTTAATTATGAAACGCGCGGCAATAATTAATCGAGGTGGTCCGGCTGGATGGCAAACACGAGGATTGTTCGTCGCGAGATCGGTACTCCGTTCTCCGTCCTCGACTTCCCTAAATTATTAACGGCCTTATCTCGTTTCGAGACCTCCCTTCCGCTTCTTAATTATATAAGTCGTCCCCAGGAAGTTCGGTCGTTCGACGACTCGGGCCACCAGCTTTGATATAACTGGAACGCGTGAGGCTGATCGACGTTATCGATCTATTATATAACGAACTCTACTTGGAAGATAATTATGTTGAATGCTTTTATCATAGACCGTAGCTCTTATGGAGTTACTCGATCGAACTCCTCTGGCTTCTGATGAATCAGTCCGCCGGATACGTTAAAAAAATGTGAAATCGGTTTTCAATAGGGATAAAAAGATATTTTTGAAAAACCTGCTAATTTTTTTTTGCTCGGATGCATGCCTGTCAAATCAATATATTTACCCGTCAAACAGAAGCCAGGGACATTTTCATTCATCATCGATTGTCATTCAACATCGACGAAGGAAAACAATCGACGG